TCATTTATAATTTTATTTCAATTGTTGGTTACTCTATAATTAATAATAAACTTAATTGTAATTTACGTATAATTAAATACTGTTATAATTTCTTTAATGCTTTATCGACTTTAGAAAATATTATTTTTTGCTAGGGAAGATGAGGATTTAGCTCATTGATACTGGACCACTTTACTTCCCTTCCTCAATATTTGTGGTTATTATTTTAGTTCTTATATTGGTTATCTTTAAAAATTGCAAATAATATATTTATACATCTAACTCTCATTCCATTAATCTTAGTGCCTTAATTTCCCTTTATATCGGATGATTATAATAGCACCACTAACCTTATTTTCTCTTCTCCTTCTTTTTTCCCTTTCACATTTTATTGGCAGTATTTTGACATTTACATTTTTCAGGTTTTTTAAGTATTATTCTGTAACAACAATAAAATTTCCTATAGTTTAGATGTTATACACTAAAATATTTTATAATATTTTGAGTATATAAATACTGTTGAATGCTAGGTAAAGCAGTATATAAGGAATACATTTCATTTCTTATTGGGCCAACGTCATGTCCCTTGGGGCAGTCAAAGGAAAAATGTTCCAGGCATTGAAGTTAAATAGACTTTCTTTTCTTACTCTCCATCAGTTGTTTATAATCATGCCATATTTCAGTTTGCGGCATGCTTCATGTTTAATATAGTTTTTTCATTTTTCTTGAAGTATCTAACTGCTTTTCTTAAACATGTTGATAAAGAATGCTGTGCCTTCAGCATACCCTCTCATTTCCTTTTTCTCAAATATAACAACTACTGCATGGAATCGCTTCTCCCCACCTCCCAACTCCCCTTTATGGAGAACACGTGGACTGGCTGCTCCTCAGCTGCCATCCTGAGACTTCCCTTCATTGCTTCTCTGGACTGAACCCACTGTTTCCTTGATCTCAGGTATTCCTCTTTCTTGGTTTGCTTTAATTTGCTGCAGTATATATTCAAGTGCAGTAGTCCTCCCTTATCTGCGGGGATACATTCCAAGACCCCCAGTAGATGCCTGAAACCATGGATAGTACTGAGCCCTAACTAGATATACTATGTGTTTTCCTATACATACATACGTATGATAAAGTTCAATTTATAAATTAGGCACAGTAAGAGGTTAATGATAATAACTAATAATAAAATAGAACAATTATAACGATATATTGTAATGAAGGCTATGTGAATGGCTTTGGGGCCATTATTAAGTAAAATAAAGTTTACTAGAATACAAGCATAGCGATACCATGACAGCCTATCTGATAACTGAGATGGCTGCAAAGTGAGTAATAGGCAGGTAGCATATAGAGCATGCATACACTGGACAAAGAGAAGATTCACGTCCAGGGTGGGATGGTACAAGATTTCATCATGCTACTCAGAATGGCGCACAATTTAAAACATAAATTGTTTCTGCAATTTTCCACTTAATATTTTTGGACTGTGGTTGACAGTGGCTAACTTAAACTTTGGGAAACAAAACTGCAAAAAAGTGTGAGAGGACTACTGTAACTCTCTAAGAAAATAGGAGATAAACTTTCTGAGTTTTTAAGTGTCTGTATCCTGACCTCATATTCCATTGATAACTTGGCAGGATACAGAGATCTGAGTTCAAATCCATTTCCCCAGAGCTAATACCACTCAAATTCTTGTTCTTATTAAGGTGATCTTTTTTTTTCCTCTCTGGAAGCTTTTAGTATCTTTTCTTGATCAGTGTTTTCCTAAAATTTCAGGAGGACATGTTTATGTATATGCTTTTTTTTTTTTTTTTTTAAATTCATTGTGCTTGGCACTCAGTGGTTCCTTTCAACCTTTGAAAAGACTTGTATTCTATATTATTTATTTGATTCTGTGGGCAAGGACTAGAGGAAGCATAAGAGGCTGGGGTGGGAGAATCATGTTCTGTTTTTGATCAGTTGCTGGTTACACAAGTGTGTTGTGTAAACAGAAGTTTCAAGTAATCCCGCTGGGTTCCTGCTCTTTGGACTCATCCTATTGCCCCAGTCTCTCCAATTCTCTCAATTCTGTATTATTTCTTTGATGAGTTCCTTCTCTCCATTTTCTCCCTTCTTTCTTCTAGACTCCAGTTAGTTAGATGTTGAAATTCTTGAATTGGTCCTCTATGTCTCTTCTATTTTTGTCTCTGTCTCTCTTTCTCTCCCTTGTGTGTATCTGTGTGCATGCCTGAGTGTGGCAGAGATACCCTTAACTTTAGTTTCGAGGACTTAGGCTGAAAATTTTAATTTTGGTGCTAACATTTTAAAATTCTAACAGATCTTTTTTGTGTTCGTATTCTGTTTTCATAATATTCTATTCCTGTTTTATATACTCACTCTGAATATAGTATTTTTTAAAGACCAATTTTAAGAACGGTTTTAGATTTACACAAAAAATTGAGAAGATAGAATTCCTATATCCTGCATCCAGTTTCCTCTATTATCTTATATTAACATAGTTATAATTAATAAATGAATATTGACACATTATAATTATTACTATTATTAAAGGCCATACTTTATTAACATTTCTTTAGTTTTAACCTAATGACTTTTATCTGTTCCAGTATCCCATCCAAGATCCCATGTTACATTTAGTTGTTGTGTCTCCTTAGGCTCCTTTTGGCTATGACAGTTTCTCAGATTTTCTTTGTCTTTGATGACTATGACAGTTTTGAGAAGTGCTGGTCAGATAATATCTAGGATGTTCCTTTGCTGGAATTTGTCTTAATATGTTTTATTGTTTTTGTTAGTTTGTTTATGCTTGTGAGTAAATGTCAGGCTATACTTCGCATCTGGAAACCATGTAAGGAATCAACTGGTCCATTGTTCTATATACCAACCTTCAATGAACCCTTGTTTTTAATACTTACCAGATCTGCTGATCCTGAGTTTACAGCCTCTCTGGAATCCTAATGTGCAGAGTACCTCACTTCTATACAGCCCCTTATTCTGGGCTGTGGTTTCCTTAGCCTGCTTCTGCTTTCTATCTTCAAGAAATACTGAAATCTTTTATATATTGATTGCTTTTCTCCTCTGTTCTCTACCATCCCAATTGCTTTCATAGGTTTAGTCTGGTTAAATTTCTATATTTTAACTTCAGAGGAGTTTGGGAAAATGATAGAAGAAGAATATTTATTCAGTCTGTCACCTTTTACCAGAAGACTCCACAAGTCCACTTCTGAAATAAAAATAAAATTTCACCTTACATTTAAGGGAAGGAAGTATAAATGTCCACTAACCTATAATTATGGTTTTGTGGTTGGTTGTTTGTAATTCTCTTGGTATAGACTTAATTTATATTCCTGTCGAAGCTTTTATTAAAGCTCTGATAAAATTCAGGTAGGATCCCCAGAGAAAAAGAATTCACTCACATGAACCTTTCATGAAAGGACTATGTGAGAGTCATGGGCAGGTTATGGGGACAAACAAGGGAATGGTGAGGCACTGGGGATAGGCAACAGAAGGATACTGTTATAATTCCTAAGGTAAAGGAACAAGGGGAGGGAACAGAGTTATGAGAGCCCAGTAGCCTCTACGATGGTGGAGAAGGGGGATTCAGCAGAAGCTGTATTATAGAGAGGTACAGTTATTGTGCTGAAGCAGAGTGGGGAAGGAATGCCAACTTCTCTCCCCTCTGCTCTCCCATCTTCTGGCACTGCTATCCATTGGCCAGACCCAGCCAGAAGCTAGTCAATAAAAGATGCAGTCTTGATGCAGTCTACATCAATAAAAGATGTAGGAGTCAGAGCAGGGCCAAGAATGGATCAAGAGGGTGAGGGTAAGGAGTGGATAGAGAACTGGTATTAAAACCGAATGTTTTATTAACAATACAGTTCTAATATTGAGTATTTGCAATTTCGCAAAACATAAAAAGGAATATGTAATGTTGGATATTATAATGGTCTTAACTAAGTATAAAAAACTATTAAGAACACTCATTCTCATGACAATTGTTTCAAGGGGAACAAAAATATGTAGCAGATGAGTCTAAGGATAATCAAGATTATCATGAAAATAAAGACAAGTTCAAAGACCCTGAACATAAATCATAACTGAACTTTGTATTATGAACATGGAAAATTGTTACTATAATTAAAAATCTATGTCAGATGGTGTCAGAAGTTGGGATAGTGGTTACCCTAGGGTGGCAGTGACTAGGAGGAAGCATGAAGGGCTTTGGGGATACTGGTAATGTTTTGTTTCTTGATCTGAGTGTGCTCATGTTGTGAAAACTCAATAATTGGTGCACTTGTGATTTGTGTGGGTTTTTTGGTGTATGTATATTTCAACAAAAGTCTAAAAAAAGGTGATGACAGCCATGAATACAACTTCAGAAAAAACAACTATGTCCATGTATTTTTCCATCCTTCTTCAGGCATCCTCACTAACAGTCAATAAGGATTTATTGGAACAACTAAAACAAGGATGTACATTCAAAGGAAATGAAAGGCAGCTTCAAGGGATTTATGATCTGTTGAGGAAAACTGAATATTTAAGACATGAAATTAAGAATATTAACAAGCAATGTATCAGGCTAGGAAGAATGCTATAGTAAAAACAGATCCAACATTGGCTGTAACTGAGTCTCATCAGAAGGTGTAGATATAAATACTCCTCAAGTTGGAGGGCATCTGTTGAAGGGCTCTTTCTCTTTAACCTTAATAAAGGTCAACTAGACCAAATGCTTGGTTTCAGAAAGTACTTAAGTGATTGCTGGGGGTGAGCAAGGGGTGACTGAGTGGCTCCTCTCTTCTGCTTCGGGGGGAGTAGCTCTGCTTTATCTGTTTGATACTATGGGTTCTGTGTTTATTTTCATTTAACAAAAGGATTTTACTACTAATACAAGCTTGAAAACCACTTTTCTTGAAATCTAACCCTTAGATTTGTGTATCTCAATTGACATCTCTTACAGTTGAAAAAAAATTTTAAACTTCTGAACTCTAAGAGTAAACCCATTTTAAAAAGGAAATGAAAATTACCTGAAGTAAAGGGATAAAATCCTCCTGTTCTAGAGAGTTACAGCTGGGTTTTGCTAGAAGACAGATAAACTTCGAGGCATCGTCATGATGATTACTCAGCAACCTGTAAGAGAAATAACTGCTTAGGAAGACTGGCTACTGTGAACAATGACTACCACACCAACAGTTAGTAATTTCAATCTGATCTGAAGACTATTTAGATAAAAAATCAAGTGATCTCTTTTCAATGATTAAAAAAAGAGAATTTTCCACGCTCTTGATTTTGTCAAAGGAACATCTAAATAAAAGTTCAATGATAAGATGGTATATTATTTTTGTAGAATGCTTCTGGGGCTGTGAACACAGAGTTAACAAATGCAGGTAACAAAATGTTTGAAGGAGAATGTCTATTCAGGTTTAGCAAAGGATACCTGGGACCAGAACTCCAGAGCTACCTACCAGCCAGGAGGGTCTACTAGGCACTACATTACACATAAACTTCTGTTTGGCCAGGTTGGCAAACATATTCAGGGCCAACCTGATAGGGAGCTTCTGAAATAGACTTTGAAGGATCAGGCTTAAAAAGGTGAATACCATATTAAGTCTTTGAGCTCCAAGAATTCCTCATATCTAACTAATTGCTGGACATTTCCATTTGGATACTATATTTGGACAATAAAGTCAAAATATCAAAAACCAAATTTAAAACCTTCTCAAAGTCAGTCCTTTGCATGGATGTCATTTTTGTGAAAGGTAGTACCTGAGTTATCTGGGCTTGAAATTTTGAAGTCATTTTAAACTTATTTATCTTCCTTATTCTCTAAATCTAGCTAGTCTCCAAATTTTCTTGTTTTCCTTCTTTAATAATTTATTGAATGCTAATTATGTGCCAGGTACTATGTCTAGCCTTGAGGATACTTGGAATACAAAGAAAATATGATGAAGTTTTGTGCTTTATAAGAAGTGTTTAGTCTATACCAATAGAAAGCTATGCCAATAACGTTACACTCCTGTGTGATAGCCATGACAGAAGTAATTAGCATAGGGTGTCATGGAAGGACACAGGAGGGCCAGTGAGATTCCCTGAAAAGGGGAAGTAAGAAAGAAGGTTGATGTGAGTCAAAAGGGTCATATGTACAAATGCCTAGTGTGAGAGTGCATGGAATATTTGGGCAACTATAAGCACTGGGTTGGTAAAAGAAGGGGACATAAGCGTGTAGGATCGGATCCTGGAGGCCCTTTTATGTTAGGTCAAGAAGCCTAGACTTTACCTTACTCCACGGAAGAATTTTAACTTGGACAGTGACATGATACTTTTCAAAAATATCAAGCAAAATTCCAATCAAGGGCCTCAGCATGGATAATGGCAGTGGGAGATGGAGAGAAAGGGGCAAATGGTTGAAATGAAAGGAAGTGGTGGTTGATAGGACTGGAGATGGGAGGGGTAAAAGGGAGAACTCCATGACGACTCCCAGGTTTCTAACTTGGACCACTAGGTGTCTGGAATATAGGATAGGAATACTGGAGATCTGAGGAATATTTCTTCTAATGTTTGAGACAACCATTCCTTCCATTCTATTTCCATTGTACCATCAAGTTCAAGGTCTTATTATTTCATGCTGAGAATGCTAGAAGGGAAAAGGGTAATAACAGCTTCAGTGTTCATCCACCCTTATATCATAGACAATTCTTCATTCTAATGCATTCTTTGATTATATAATTCCCTTTTTCAAAAATGTTCAGTAGCTTTCTACCACTTATATGAGTAAGTCTAAATGCCCAAGTTGGATATTTAAGGCTCTCTGTAATTATCTACCTGTCTTACTACTTTGCCTGTTATCTACCTGTCTTACTACTTTGCTAAATGAAAATTCCATTCCAGGCTGCTATTCCCTGAGTAGTTCATGTACATTCTTGCCTCTGTGCCATTTCTCATGCTGTTCTACTCTCCTAGAATACCACTTCTCCCAACTCTGCTATCTGAATGCTGGCTATTCTTTAAGGTCCAGCTAATAATACACCTTTTTCAAAAAGCTTTCTCTTACAACTAGATTCTTAGTGATCTTTGTACTATTTAATTTATATATATTATATATACCACTGTACTGTTAGCTTTCTTTAATCTGTGGCATGTAAAAGACAAAGTTATAGCTCTTTTTTCCCTTAGCAACAGCATAGCAACTTTTACACAGAAGAGTCTCAAAAAACTGTGATCTGACTAACATATGTATACTTAACTGGCATTATTTGTGATTATTAACACTATATGTGATCTTTGTATTATTCTCCTTATCATTCTTCAGCATGTTCAAGGCCCCGAAAGTTAAATATACATTTCAGAAAAATATTAGTGCAATATATGCTGATGAGAACCACCTCTTAGAATTAGAAAATGGGTGGGATGATCACAACATAAAAGGAGTGAGATCTTTGGAAAGGAGCACTTTATGAAGAAAAAAAGCACTTGTAAATAAAACTCGCACAGATATGACAGATGAGAGATACTCTGAAAGAGAAAAGTCAAATCAGGTATAGCCTTCTACTATTAGAAGCATGAAATAGAAAGAAAAGGTGAATTATAATTTTCAACCAGTGCTAGTGGCTGATGAACTCTATAAGGCAGGAGAAAAAGGAGAAAATAAAAGTTGTGAAAGCTGGAGAAAGAAGGTAAACATAGTTATTCCAAACTGTTATCTTCCAGAACTTTTAAGACAAAATATTGTTGTGTTAATGGACAAATGACAGATGGACATGAAAAGGTAAAAGAAAATAAAGCAGAAAAAAACTGGAGCAATATTACTGACTCCATTGAGAAGACCTCTGTCACAAAGCTGGTAATCTAGGAACTCAAACAAAAAAAGCTGTGGAGTAATGTCTTTCCCCTAAAAATGTCCTGCTTGTAAGAAAAACAGATGTCAGAGTACAGATATGAAATGGGCAGTAGAGCAGGGAAAGCAGAGAATGCAGAGCAAGGGAACAAGAGCCATTAAGGTATTCATCCACAAACTACTCAGAGGAGGACTGGAAGTGTCCACCCGAGGAGCACTGGGTCAGAAAGGAAGTTATTTCCTGTTTTGTTGTGACTTTTGTATTTGACTTTTTTTTTTTCCAAATTATATAGGGCAAGTCGGCACACATATGTGTATGTCAACATGTTTTAATTCTATGTCATCATCTCCCAGTTATTTTCTGTACTAGAAAGCTGTAATATACTATAGTTTGGTCCAAGTTGCTTTATGCAAAGGGAAATTTTAAAAAGTTACAAAAATAAACACATCTTTTTCAAAATGAGTGTGGTAACTGATACTTAGCTGCTTGATCTACCTCAAAAGGCATGTTCAGGATCTCCCTTAAAGCACCCTGGCTTTTAAAAGGCATTTAAAAAGCTCAGAGAGCTCCCGCTAGAGGGTGCTCCAACCATTTTAGTACCTGGCCAAAAGCTAAAGCTTAACTACAGAGAAACTTATCTATTCATAGATTTTTTTTTTTTAACGAAAAAAGATAGGGACAGTTGCACATGCTATATAACTTCATAAGCAGTTTCTTGCAGCTCTTAAAATGAAGACTTGTGCTTCATGTTTTTTTTTCCTCTTTTGCCTTTTGCAGAAATCTCTTTTCCCTAGAGATAAAATTAAAATGATTCATCTCAATAAAAGAATCCAGCTGTTGAGGCTGCAGCTCAACCCACCAACATAAATGTCCACCCTATCTCAGTAACACAGTCTTAAGACAAAAAAACTGGCTGTTACTCTCCTTATCATTATGCAGTTAGCTGCAGGTAAATCAAGTTGGATACTAGTTTTCCTTTAATATAGTCAGTCTTAGGCTCACAAACATAGGATCCTAAAATATTCAGAACAACTTAGAATATAAGTAGTTACAGTTCTTCTCACTGGCTCTAATCTTTTACAGAATAGACTTCTTTTTTTTCAATCTCCCAGTTTGTTCAGTTTTCTCTTAACAATCATATTCACTTCTTGCTGCTTTCCCATATTGTTAGATGGTTTCTGCCAACAATGCTGAACTCAGTGTCTGAAGATACCTCTGACAAGAGCTGTGCAGTATCCCTATTCTTTCTATCCTTGGTTCATACTCCAGCTGAGGCCTTTTCAGGGCCTGGTACCTACCAGGATGAAAGAAGCTAGCTGAATGAAAGAGAGAACATCTACACATTTTGAGTTCTTGAATTGTTACTGTTATATGCTCACTTAAAATAATTAATAATAGATAATTGGACCACTCGGTTGAAGTCCTGGCCTTAACGTTGGGAAAAGGAGAGGGGATTCAAGCTGACTTCCATACTGTTTAAGTTCTAGGCTCTATTTTCTTCCCCAGGTTCTAGGCTGCCAGAAATACCTCCAGGGTAAATGCCAATTCCTTGGTTTACGCCTGGCTAATTAGTGCCTTTTGGCTATCTAGCCTTCAAGGAATTCTCTTACTTTTAGGACTGCTTATCCACACATTAAAAATAAAAAATAAAAATAAAAATAAATTAAAAAAACATATCTCAGATTTTATCCAGCAGTTTTCTACTTGGTACAGGAGAGGTGGAATGATGACCATGGCATTGACTTTGGAGTGTCACCTGATGGTATATGATAAATGATTCTTCTAGGGCTCTTTTCTTTTAATCTTTGGTATCTGAACAACTTAGAACTATTCCCTGTAACAAAATGACTAAAGCCTACCTGGAAAACATGAATCATTTTTAACTTTTAGCTGTGTTGTCGTTCTTTAAAAGAAGTCTGTTAACTGGTACTCTTATAAAACCTGATTACTTTAATTCTAATGTAATGAATGAAGAACTTGGTTAACTCAACTTGCTGCTAGATTTTAAAAAACAAGAATACATTTATTAATTACCTGCTATGTTCTTAAGCACTACACTACTAAGGGCTTTTAGGTGGCATGAAGGGGTTAGAAGGCATCTGTAAATTGAATTCTGCTACTATTATATATGGACTTTAAAAAGTGACGATGATGACAGGTGACTAGTATTTCCCAATACTTTACCAGGAAGGGTATCTAGCCCAGAAAAGTTAAGAAGAACATATATAACAAAAGCTGATCAGTTAAAAGGGGTAGAAGGGGCAAGCTGTGACATTCTCTTAAAATGTATAAATATATCAAGAAATAACTTCTAAAGGAGAAAGAAGTTAGGAAAAAAAGAAAGTTGGGTTTGAATAGAAGAAAACTCATCAGGATATAAAAATCCAGAGTAACTTGATACATGTATTATTCCTTTGTTCCTTAACTGGAACTTTCAAAAAGTTATGATTAAAATTTATTAGAATTCAGCTATTTTTAATAAATCAACTAGATAAAATTCTAAATTGGATCATATGAGAATGGAAGCTGTATTTTCACATGATACATGTGGTCTGCTCTCCTTAAAGGAGAATCTTTACTTTTAGGTCACTGCTGCAAGAGTCAAATCCTAAGATCCAAATTTAACAAGTAAAACTAAGAAACTATCAAATAATTATTAAATAGGTATTTCTGAAGATCTGTTTTACTCATTAGAGACATATAAGACAAAAGCTTACGGAAAGAATTTTTGTGTGGATATAAATAGTTGTGAATCATTGAATTTTACTTGCTGAAATAAAGGGTAAAGGAAAAAGTAATAAATGAGTAAAATAAGTCAACTTTATAAAGCATGTCAATAGGACCAGACAGTTCTTTGCCTAACCTCAGAGCTAACTGTTCATATACTTACTTTCTCCACATGGCAATGAATGACTGTGCTGACACAAATCCTGTCTTCTCTCCCCCTGCAGCCTTGAACATTGGAGCTTTCCAATAGAGAGGACAGCCACAGACCTGCAAGTAAAATACATATACAGTGAAGCGATGACATGGCCAAAGAAAGGCCCTTTGTGGCTTTTACTCTTCATGCTACAGTGGACAAAAGTGGCCCTGGAGAAGCAAAACTGGGACAGAGGCAAATATATCGGCTAGGGTAGATTCAGAGAGAGACAGAAGGGAAACAAAACCAGATTACATATTTAATGAAGAAAATGGAAATCCTTTTACCTTTCGTCCAAGTTCATTTATACTGTTTCTTTCTTCTATCTCGATACTTAAAGCAACCACTCTCCCTACCATTCTTACATCATATATATTTTACCAGAAAAAAAAAAAAAAAACTGAATGTCATGGATGTGTATGCCCTTCCTTCCTATGGCAGAAAAATAGAGCTACCTTTATTACTCGGGCACTTGGTGTTAATATACTCTACCACCTGTCTCCTTCTCCTTTGCCTATTATA